TGTTTCTGCTGTTAATTCTTCGTACCTGAAATAACAGTTTACAGTTTTTAAGTAATCTTTAGTTAATGCACGAAACTACTGCTATAAATAAAGCAACCAGTGTAGCACATTTATGGTTTTTTATCAACTGCCATAAAATGTCAAGGTAATTATGAATGATTGTTAAATAATGACTGAAGTAATTTTTTAAATAATGATTCAATCAGCAGTTGCCTGGAGAGGCTAAGTAAACATATCAATTTTCAAGGGTCCATCCATCGTGTTCTACCTACGCCCATTTTTAGTGAAGCTAGAAGAATAGGAATGAAGATTTTCTTTCCAGAATAGATCATAGAAAATGAGTCGAATTTCTAAAAAAAAGAAGAATATTTAAAGGTATAGAATTACTTCTGAAAAACTGCAAAACGTCTTTTTAAAAATTTATAAAAAATACTGAGATTTATTTTGACGAAACTTTCCAAACCTGAGATTTCGGGTTCTCACGGTGATGATGGTCTCTGGGGATGTAACACTGTGTGGGCTTTTAGATAGGTACTTAAATTATTATTTATGCACCACATTGAAGTACAACCCACAAGACCAAACCTAGATTTATTTTATGAGATGATATTAAAATTCTGCAAATTATAAAAGCATGTTTCTTAGTGTGCATATTTAATTCTTTCTGCTGTTATGCTGATAATGTATAGATTGATAAGAACATTTGACTCACAATAAGATAATTATGAATCGGAAAGCGAGATAAGAATGGAATTTTCTTTTTTGTAAAACATTAAAGATAAAAGAGTCAAGTTGATTACATATGGAATTCATAGCAGCAGTAAGTTTGATATAGAAGATGGCTGTCTTCTGGGTTGTTGCTCCGTTTAGTCCGGTAGATGTTTACCGACGTTTCAGAGGTTCTTGTCTCCATCAGAAGGGCGATGGGCCATGCAGCATAAATGAATTTATGTAATGGAGACAAACACACTTATACCAACACAGATAATCTTACTTCCTGTTTCCCAGCAGCAGGTGAAGTAAGAGAGTTGACTGGAGGAAGGCGTTTCTCTCGACGCAGTTCTTCCTCTCTTTCACGTGTTAAACGAATTTCACGCTCAATAGGAGTTTCCTTTTGGTTCCTTGAAATTAAACATATCAGTAATCTCATTAATGAATTTCTTGACTTGATGAACATATAAACTATTTAGGAAGACATGTAGCGCGCATGGATGGGACAAGAGGTGTGCACCGGGTATTGGTTGGGAAGCCTGAGGGGAAGAGACCGCTGGGGAGACCTAGACGTAGATGGGAGGATAATCTCAGGCGGGATCTATGGGAGATAGGAGTTGAAGGAGACTGGATTTTGTTGGCCCAGGACAGGGTCAGGTGGAGGGTTTTGGTTAATTCGGTGATGAAACTCCGGGTTCGGTAAACCATCTTGTTAGTTATGTTCCTAGTCAAGGTAGAAAGAATTTATGAAGACCAGCACAAAAAGTCTACAGAAAATAATCATATAATGACAACAAATTTTAGTTGTGGTTATGTTCTGTGTGAACTCATGAATGTTACAGATATATAAATGAAGATTACTCATTGTTGGAAAGGCGTACTTTAAAGTTCAGAATAGAACCTTCCAGGATCTTACTAAGGTAGTGCAGCTTTTCGTACATTTCATTTACCCATGACAATTGCAAAATTATAAACTGTCTGAGCTGATAATACATCTTAATGGTGTGATACTTAATATCAGACGAAACTTTACATTTACAAAGCTGATAATGCTTGTGCAGATGTAGTCTTAATATCATTAACATTTGTTTTGGTTTCATTTGTACATTACAATAATGTTTTCACTTTTTGATATGTTGCACAGAGTTTAGAAATAAACTGTCCGCGTCATAATCATAATTAGCATTATCAGGCACTCTTTTTTAAATTTAGCGTCTGGGCCATGAGGATAAGTATATTGTAGTCGAGACATGTTGCTTACCTTGTATCAATTGTGTGCTGACACGTCATAAAATAATTCCAGGAGATGGCTGCCTTATGGGTTGTAGCGCCGCGTAGTCTGGTAGAAGTTTACCGACATTTTAGAGGTTCTTGATCATCGCCCTGATGATGGAAGTAGCAAGGATATGTGAAACGTTGGTAAACTTCTACCAGACTACACGGCGCTACAACCCAGAAGACAGCCATCTTCATATTCGCCGTCGTGAGAACCCGAAATCTTAAGTAATTGCAGGGCTATGAACATGCAAAATGACCACGTACTTTGAAATGTTGGTGTTGCAACTATATGGAGCGTCTGCGTAAAGCCTTTTCCGCACCCTTATCAACCCAGTCTTCGCCACGCAACTGATGGGCCCGTTCAAAGTGACGTCAACGATATATAAGGAAAATAGGCGTGCTTTATATGCAAAATTCCTAACTAGTTTATGTAGGCCTGCAGTTAACTTCAAGGCTATGGTATATTCATATCACGATACAGGGCATCACACTCGCCTTTCTTCATAAAGAATATCCAGACGGTATGCAGACGCATTTACAGTAGACTCCCGATTATCTGGGTTGGTTGTGAAGTATATTTTATTTCCTGGATAATCCACAAAAATGAAAGAAAAACACGCAAATATCACCAAATACGTCAGTCTATTTACAGACGTAAACTACTGTAGTTTTTAAAGATTTAGTAATAACAAAAAGGGTTTTATATAAGATGTAATACAGTTTATACCAACTATTTTTAAAGAAAATTCCAACAGACAGTAATAACATTCTATTGTCGTAAACTTTAAGTTTTAGCAACACCTGATGAATGTTAATACGTTAAATAATATTATTATATTTATTCCATCTTTTAAAACGTTCTAACTTTTACATTTTATACATTAATTTTGGTTCAATCGAGTTAAACCCCGGTTAATCCGCCACTGGATAATCGGGAGTCTACTGTATAAGTAAATGACAATTTACGAAGCAGGTTGGTACAGCACAAGGTACTCTGATCCTCTGCCGGGTTACAGGTTATCGTTCCTAAAGGCGTGGCTTTCCCCAGTTTCTCGAGGTGAATGCTGAGAAAATAATCTCAAAACATACCCGAAACCCCCCTCCGTATCATGAACTATGAGTCCTCACGCATTTAATAGGCATTCTCTGTTATTACACCTTCACATTTATCACAACAGCCAGATACTACACTCATTCATATGCTCGTAGGTTCCACATGCGGACTCTTTCGACAATAATTTACCAACCAAAATTGGGTATGTATTCCCTGTTTCACCCTTTTTATGTTCGTACACATCTCGCTCATGTCAACATCCTAAACTTTGTCACCATAATACTAGGGGAAGTTAACAAACTTAGCTGTTCCTTTCTCACTACAGACCCAAGACTTTCAACAACAAAGCCACTTTTTCTGCACCGATGGTTATCAGTGTTGTAGGTATACACCAGTACCTCAGTTCTTGTGAAACTGAATCCCGTCATATAAGGTGCTGAATGTGGTGGTGGTCGTCCTTGACGTCATTGTAAAGTGGACAACATGAAGTATGTGTATGGTTAAAATCTCAGTACAAGATGTTCCATTTAAAACGCAACGCTCTGAAAAACATGTTTTGATGACATAAATATAGCAAAACGAGTTGTT